GCCGGGCCGCCCTGCCCCCCGCCCGGCTCCTCCAACTGCGCGCTTGGCGCCCTACGCGACCACCAGCCCGCGCCCTACTCGGCAGGTGAGCCTAGCCCCAGCCCAATCCTCGCTCCAAATCTTGCGGAACCCCCAGCCCCTTCCCTGCCCCTCCAGTGACTGAGACAGTCCCCCAAGCCGCCACCATCTCTGCCCCAGCCAGACCCTCCAATGCCCGGCTGGACCCTCAGTCCCCCTGTAAGACGGGGTTAACCTAGGCAGCGCCGAGCCTCCCACTCTCATCCTTCCCAGCTCCACATCCAGATCCCACACTCTTAAGGTCAAGGAAACAGCCGGTCCATCCCCAGGCCCTCCCCTCCCTACCTGCGAAGACTGACCACCGAACCTCTCAATCCCTGTATTCTTGGAAGATGCTCCGGCTCAGTTTAACAGGCCCCCATCCTTACCATCACCACCCACTTCATGCCCGACCCCCAGCAAGGACCCTTCCAGCAACGGAGCTGCCCAGATGAAAACCTTCCTAGAGCCCAGAGCCATCAGGCCCCTCCTGCCTGGCTTTGGACCCATCCTGCCTGTACCCACACCCTTCCACCACTGCATCCCATTCCATGCCCTGAAGAAAAGGGTGCCCAGGTCATTAAGCCACTCTCGTGTCCCTATTCCCCCTGGGGACCCTCCCAACTAGAGTCCCGCAGAACCCAGAAGCTGCCCCTACAACCCTCGGGCCCCTTGATCCAAGTCCCCATCTGAACCCCCAGTCTCATGGAGCCTCTCAGCCATCCCCAGCCCCCCAATTACAGTCCAAGCTGCCCCACCCAATCTCCTTATCTCCTTCCTTCCTGGGAAGACCCCTAGGAACCAATTAGAAGATTGGGGCCTAGGGGTGGGGGTGGGGAGGATGGTAAGATAGGGACCTGGATTTGGAGAAATGAGATCCAGAGAGGAGTCAGAAACTGGAACAGAACTGGGGAGATTGGGTGCTCTGGGCCTCATGCGGATGGGGCCTGGGAAATGGAGAAAGGAAACGGGGAGATGGGCCCCAGAAAGATGGAGTTCTGAGCTGGGGGAGATAGGGACTGGATAGAGGTGTGAGCCAGATGGAAGATTGGGGACCCTAGGAGAATAGGGACCCAGGGTCGGGGAGATGGAGATAAGAGCCAGGTGGTGGAGACAGAAGTATGGGAGATGGGGACGAAGGAAGATCAAACAGATGAGGAAGACGCGGGGACAGGATGGGGTGTTAGAGACAGGGATTCAGGGAGAGAGAACTAGGGTGATAGGACAACGACGAAGAATATTGGGGGCCCCTGGAAAATATGGAGACCTAAGTGGGAGTTGGGGAGACAATGTCAGAACACTGTCTATGGGACAGTGGGGACTGGGATGGGATAGATGGGAGACCGGGATGGGAAGAGAGTGAGGGGGAAGGGTGGGACACAGAGCGGGGTGCCTGCGAGGACGAAGAGGGGCAAAGAGAAGATGGAGGAACCTAGATGGGGAGAAGCAAGGACACTTCCCAAAGGGCACCAAGAGAATGGTCCGGAAGAGGAAAGTTAGACGGAGGTTTGGATGGAGAGGAGGAAGAGAAGGGGCGCCTGGAAGATGTGAGATGCAGCTGAGGACATCGGGCCTGGGAAGGAGGGAGATGGCGGGGTAGGGCCAGATCGGGCACTGCCGAGGGGCTGTGGCAGGATTGAAAGTAGACCCGAGCAGGGGAGTCTCGGCCGCCCTGCCGAGGTGCAGGACTGGTTCCTGGGGAGTCTCGGTGCAGATGAGCCCGGAAAGCCAGCCAAGGCTCGGGGGGACCGAGCGGGACCTGCCGCCAGGCGGGCAGAATGGCTGAGGCAGAGACACGCTGATGGGAGGGTCGGAGCGGGTGGTGGACTGGCGGGAGGTGAGGGAACAGGGCGAAGGCCGACCACAGGTAAGCGGCTTGGACGGGAGGGGCAGATTCTCGTTCCCTCGCTGCTGTTTTTGGGTCTCACTGCGCCATGTCCGCTGTGACCCCTGCCGGCCCCAGCGAGCCATAGAGAAGGCGCTCGATCCGAGGCCGAGGGGCCAGGCCAGGGACGGGGGACGGGAGCGATCCCTGCAGGGGCAGGAAGCAGCCGGCTGAGCGCGGTCCCTCACGCTCCACCCGGTCGCTCCCCTCTGCGCGCACCGCAGTGCCCTACAAGTTCTTCCCGGAGCCGTCGGGCCTGCACGAGAAGCGTAAGCAGCGGCGCATACGGACCACGTTCACGAGCGCGCAGCTCAAGGAGCTGGAGCGTGTCTTCGCGGAAACCCACTACCCGGACATTTACACGCGGGAGGAACTGGCGCTCAAGATTGACCTCACCGAGGCTCGCGTGCAGGTGCGTGTTTAAGCGCGCGCGCGTGCGTGAGTGTGTGCTCGGAGGGGGCCGGGGGTTATTGCCCGACACCTGGGGGCCG